GGCGTGCTCTGCCCTGGCAGCCGCCCGCGACCCGCGTCTGGGACGGTTCCCCAAACTGGGAAATAGTTCCCTCCAGCGAGCGAAGGGGAGGAGCCTAGAGGGGCCGAGCTGGGGGCGGTCGGGCTTTCCCTGAGTGGTTTGGTCGTCCAGGCCGTGCGCCCAGGGGCGGGGAAGAGAGGGCAACACCGACCCGAGAGGGAGAGAAAGGCCGGGGAGGCCTGGCGGGAGGGGCCGCCGGGGTGGCGGGAGCAGGAAAGGGTGGGGTCCGGTGGGGAGCCCAGGGCTCCGTGAAAGAGCCGGGCAGAGTACACCCTGTCCTGAGGCCTAGTGACCGTGGACGGGACAGTTGGCAAGCAGGTGCAGCTCCACCAGGAAATTGCCAATGAGAGGAAGCGGCAGGCCTGAGCCATTGGGGACCAAGGTGCTCGGTGAGCAGGTCCTGCCCCCCATTTGCAGCCGGGCCTGGGGGTGTGGGTGGAGGCTGCCGCTGGTGGGAGCTTCAGGGCACAGCGGGTGGGCTGGGGTGGAAGAATGCGGTTCCCCATTACCCCAGAGCTGTCCCCCTGGAGGTTGGGGCTCAGCGCTGTGCAGGTGAGCAGAGACTGTGGCCCTGATGGGCGTTGGGTCAGATGATGGGGACAGGTGGGGAGTGACCGCTTGAGGGTGGTGTGTGCCGGAGGCCTCTCCCGGGTGTGGGCAGTTCCTGGCCTCGAGGGGTGCGGGAGTGTTTTGTCTAGACCAGCCCCGAGGACCCCTCTTGCCCACGGGCTCATGTCTGCAGAGATTGGCTCCCCACCAGCACACACTTACAGGGCGGGGCAAAAGTCGGTTTACAGTTTTGAGTATATGGAACATGGAGTTTATTCTTGGCCTATTTATTAATTTATTAATTGTCTTGTTTTCCAGACGAACAACTGTAAACCGACTTTTGCCCTGCCCTGTACACACACACACACACACACACACAGTCCGGGGCTTAGAGATGTCAGATGTTTTCAAACACTTCAGCTGATGGTTTGGCTGTCATTTTATGCCCTGGGAAAGTAAAAGTACAGATTCCTGGAGGGGACTTTCTTTTCTTTTTTGTTTTGTTTTGTTAATGTTTTTATTGATTTTTGTTTTTAGAGAAAGAGAGAGGGATAAAGAGAAACATCATCCATTGGCTGCCTCCAGCATGCCCCCTACTGGGGATCCAGCCCACAACCCGGGCATGTGCCCTGATCAGGAATCAAAAAGGTGACCTCTTGGTTCGTAGGTCAACGTTCAACCACTGAGCCACACCGGCTGGGCTGGAGGGGTTCTCCGTTACTTATGCTTCAGTGGAAATTAAGTTTTAGACTTTTCTCAGAGTGGCTTTTGGTGGCTGAGGGCTTCTGGAGGAGGTGGTCGGAGGGAGGAGGGAGGGAGGCTGGACTGGCTTGGGGTACAGAGTGCTCAGGACCAGGCCTGCGGGGAGGCTTGGCTACGGGTTTGCAGGCCTGGAGAAGGAGCGGGAGCCGGCTGTCCTGCCTCCCGCCGCGTGTCCACGGCCTGGGGTTTGGGCCCAGGGGAAGGGCGTAGAGCTCCCTGCACCTCTACCCTTCCTGAGGGAACCTGGGCTGTGGGAGGCCCCAGGGGCTGTGGGAGCTCAGGGCCATCTCGGCCTGCTCCACAAAGCGGACTCTGCCCTGGGGAGTGAGGGAGGAGGGTGGCTGAGCCCCAGCTTGAATGAGCCAGAGGGATGGAGCAGCTCCTCTTGGCCCAGCCCTTGGCTCCCAGAGGTGCCCCAGCCATCACTCCTGTCCATCTCAGGCTGTTCTGTCCTGTCAGTGTGTGTCCTCAGGTGGGTGGAGGCCAGGCCCCGAGGCCTGCAGCCCTGGCTCCGCGGGGCCTGCCCTCCCCCGTGCTCACCCCCCACTCCTCCCCCCGCGCTCACGCACACCTTTGATTAGGAGGCCGCTGGCTGCACTTGTGCTGAGTCCAGGCTTCTGCGGAGGTGAAATCTGTCGAGGAGGCACTTTTGTGTGTGATCTCTCCAGGAAGTCGCCGCTGCGCTCAGCATTGGGGGTGGAGGGGGCACCCGGTGGGACAGGCCGGGCCAAGGCTTTTTCTTTGGGGCAGGACCCGGGGCAGCATCCCTGCCCTCCAGGTCCTGCTGCTGGGAGGGCTGGGCCCCGAGGACCTTCTCGCCTGGGGCCTCCTGGGGCCAGGCTGGGTGGGTGGGGCCTGCCATGGAGCCCACTTGTGCCTCCACTTCCCCAGCCC